AAATGGTAAAATCACTGCCAGTTGTTTGCCTTCAAATTCTGATATTTTTTTCTTAACTTATCTGGTACACTGTATTTTTTAGAGTCCTCAGGTAGCACGCATTCTGTTCAGGTTTTATAGCTGCATTCAGTGGGCTCAGAGAACGGGTTGAGTGTGATTATTCTGTGTTAACTGGAATCAGAACCCTTGTACCGTATATGTTAGTTTTCATATATAGATATGTATAGATAATGGAGTGTTTTCTTTGGTGTATATTTATGAATAAGTGGGATTCATCTTTTCATACGCTACCTGAGGAAACCACATTATACTATAAATACTCTTCTGGTTATTTATTGCTGTGGAAGAAATCACCCTCAAGTTTAGTAGCTTAAAAATAACATAAGTCATTGTATTATTATGTCCTAGACTCAAGCAGTGATTGGGCTCAGTTAGGTGGTTCTTCCTTGTGTGGGGGGAGTCCACTCATATGTTTAACAGTAAAACGGTGGCTGGAAATGAAATAATCTGAAAGATTCAGATTCATTCCGTCATGTGTGTGGCATTTGGTCTGGGAACATTCAAAAAGCTGGGGTTTCTGTGGTATCTGTCTCTACTGCTCTGTGGTCTCTCCATGGTTTCTCCAGCATGGAAACTTAAAGGTAGATAGACTTCTTTTTTGATTTTTTCCAGATATGATTAACATATAACACTGTGTAAGTTTAACGAATACAATGTGTTGATTTGATACATTTCTATGTTGCAATATCATTACCACCATAGCCTTAGCTCATACCTCCATCATGTCACATAATTATCCTTTTTTTTGTGGTAAGAACCCTTAAGCTTTACTCTCTTAGCAACTTTCAAATGTATAGTACGGTATTATTACCTTTAATCACCATGCTGTATATTAGATCCCCAAAACTTGTTCATTTTATAACTGGAGGTTTGTACTCCTTGACCAATCTCTCTCCATCTTCCCCCGCCCCCTGCCACTGGTAACCACCATTCTGCTCTCTGTTTCTACGAATTTGGCTTTCTTTATTTAAAATTTTTATTTATTTTTCCTTTCTTTTTTTATTGAAGTATAGATGATTTACAATGTTGTGTTAGTTTCTGGTGTACAACATAGTGATTCAGTTTATATATATATATATATATATATATATTTTCATTATAGGTTATTACAAGCTATTGAATATAGTTCCCTGCGCTATATAGTAGGACCTTGTTGTTTATCTGTTTTGTATAGAGTAGTTTGTATTTGCTAATCCCAAACTTCTAATTTATCTCTCCCCTGACCAAATTTGGCTTTTTAAGAGTCCACATATAAGCAAGATCATAAGTATTTGTTTTTCTCTGTCTGACTAATTTCACTTAGCATAATGCCCTCAAGGTCCATCCATGTTGTTGCAAATGGCAGGATTTCCTTCTTTCTCATGGCTGAATAATATTCCAATAATATTCCATCCCACACACACATACATACATATACCACATGCATGTACATATATACACACACCCCCACAACTTCTTTATCCATTCGTATGTTGACAGACAATTTAGGTTGTTTTCGTATCTTTGCTCTTGTGACTAATGCTACAAAGAACAGGGAAGTGCAGCTATCTCACCGAGATCCTGATTTCAATTCCTTTGGACATATGCCCAAGAATGGGATTGCTGGATCATATGGTAGTCTCATTTTCAGTTTTTTGAGGAACCGCCATACCGTTTTCCATGGTGGGTGCACCAATTTACATTCCCACCAACAATGCACAAGGTGCGGTGCCAATTGGTGCCTGCCGAGGCCCTGTGACTCCCATTCCTGGACTCTCAGATGTCTGCAATCCCTCAAAAAACCCAAGTCCACTCTTTCCTAACAGTGTCTGCCTTAGCAGAATTAACAGCCCTGGGAAATGACTAGCCTCACCGTAGCTCAGGCAGACTTGTCTCAGCCCATATCTTCTCCTTATTGGAATCATAAATTCCATTACCTTGCTTGTGTCAGCCCATGTCTCTTACTGGAGTCATAAATCCACTATCCTCCGGTATAGCAAAGCCCCTTACCTCACTTACAGCCAATCAGAAATCTGTTCTCCTATCCCTTTGTGTTCACAGCGCCTTCCTCTATAAAAGACCCTGCACATTCACAATCGGTGGACACGCAAGCACCTCTTGCCTGCACGGCCTGCTGTTGCCTGTAGCAGCGAACCTACGAAACTTTCCTTTATTCTTAAACTTTTCCTTGACTTTGGTAAACTCTTTTTACCACCGCAGACACCAGTCCTTCTGTGTGTCCCCCAACACAAGGGTTCCCTTTTCTCTACATCCTCGCCAGCATTTGTTCTCTCTTGCCTTTTTGATAATAGCCACTCTGACAGCTGTGAGATGATATTTCATTATGGTCTAGATCTCTTACAAGGAAGTTCAGGGCTCCAAAGTGAGTGGAGAGCAAGAGCGTAGAGTGAGCCAGGCAGGAACCAGGTTGCCTTTTATGACCTAGCTTCACAAGTTGCCATATTCTATTCTCTGAGGCAGTCATAAGGGTCCACCGAAGTTCAAGGGAGAGGGATCATAGATGCCACCTCTTGATGGGGGACTGGCAAGGTTCTGGATGAACATGTGAGATTGGAAACATGGTTTTGGGCAACTTTGGAAAATACAACCTGCCCTAAATCCTAAAAAAATCTGTACTTTTACTTTTAAGGTAGCACCTGAGTTGTCCTCTGTGTGAGCTACAGAGAAAATCTCTTTCCTTGACTTCTGGGAATTCATGACGCTGTAATATTCAATACTATGCTCAATATGGACAATTTTCAGCAAGCATGGCTTTTAGTGAGTCTCCAGAAATTAGATCAAGTTGTCCCATTGCTTTTTGAAACTTTCTCTGTCACTAACCATGTTTTTAGTGTTTGCAATTTCATTGGGAACTTGCATGGAACTTCAAAGTGTATGGATTTTTGTAGTGGCTGGATGACAGCCTGCAGGAACAGGGAAAGATGCTAGCTAAAATCTAGATGAAGAGATTCTCTGGCTGCCAAGAAAGTACTAAGCAGGCTTGGCAGAGTGGTCTGCTAGACGGGAACCAGGAAGGCTACAGTGCTCCAAATATCTTTCTTTCCTAATGCCATCTCTACTCTATTATTACTCCTTTTAGTTAAGTGTTGCTTTCTCCAATGATTCCTCTTAAAATTGCAAACTCCTCTGGGAGAGAAAACACCGACAGTTGGTGCAAATTTCAAAGGATAAACACGTGTGATCACAGTGCTAGGCACTGGGAATTCAGTGATGAATAATTTGATCTCTTTTCTGCCTTGACCAGAGGAATGAGGTAGATTGAAAATTCTAGTTCCTGAGGATTTGTTCCAAAGAGGCTTTATCATCCAGAGTCCACTTTATAGTTTTTTTAATTTTCCCAGAGCTGGGCCTGGTCTTAAGAATCACCAAAAACTCCTTGGGCTCCCAGAAGATCAACATCAAAGGACCACCAGGGTAATCCCTCCCCCCACCCACCTGCTGCTCATCTGCCTGGAACAGCAGGTGTTCCAATTCCTTTTGGTTCAACCCGCTTCCCACTGAGTTAGTTACACAGTCCAGAATAAGAAAGTCAGTCTACTCGCCAAGTGGTGAAGGAGCTATTTTGACGCTCTTCCCTCATTTCAACCCTTTATCGGTCCCCGCTTTGGATCCGACTAAAGCAGATGGTTTGAATGAAGCCTGGCAGATCCTGGGAAGCCCGGGATGCTGCAAGGCACTCTGAGAGATGTGGGGAGCGAGATGTAGGGGGTCACGTGGCTTCGAGGCTCCTCGGCTCCTCCCGGAGCTCCCACTTGACTGGGCCCAGGGCGGCTACACACTGGCCGGAGATCAAACACTTGGCGTGGCCCCAGAAGCAGGACTGGAGACGGCGGCACAGCGCGCGAATCCAAGCGGATGCTCCTGCCAGGCACGGGCGCCCTCTTGCGTCTCGTTTAGGAAGCGCGGCGGCGAGTGCTCAGGAAGCGGCCCCAGGAGCCC